GTTGTAGTCTTTCTCCATATCTATTTGATCTGTATGCTGAGCAAATTGAGAAGCTGGACTCTATGACGAGGAATGTGGCATCATGACTGGAGGGAGACTCATCAATAACCTGTTATATAGATGATACAACCTTGCTTGCTCAAAGTGAGGACTTGAAGCACTTGTTGCACAAGATCAAGGAATGCAGCCTTCAGTATGGAATGCCAACTCAATGTCAAGAAAACAGATTCTTATCACTGAACCAATAGGCATGATGGATGGAGAAGAGATTTAAACTGTCAACAATTTCATTTTATTTGGATCCACACTTAACACCATTGGTATCAGCAGTTAGATGCTGCAATGCTTCTAGGAAAGCCTGCTGTTAGGGGCCTCTCCAAATTATAGAAGAGTAATGATGTCTGAGGATTAAAGTGTGTCTGATTCAGGCCATAGTCTTTCTGATCACTTGCTATGCATCTGAGAGCTGGACAATGAATAGGGACAACAGAATTGATGCCTTTGAGCTGTGGTGCTGAAGAGCACTGAACATCTTCCCCACTGATGGCAAAAGAACAATTATGTCTTGGAGGGAAACAGCAAGAGTGCTCTTTGTAGGCAAAAATGATGAGGCTATGCCTCTCACATACTTTAGGCATGTTGCTCGGATTGGCTATTCCTTGGAGAAAGACATGATGCTGGGAAGGGTGGAAGGTCAGCAGAGAGGAAGACCCTTGACCAGGTGAATCGATGTGGTGACTGCCACAATGGCCTCTTGTGTGCCAGGAAGTGTGAAGATGGCACTGGATAGAGCAGGGTTCAGATCTTTTGTTCATGGAGTCGCTATGGGTTGTACTTAACTCGAAGGCACCTAACAACAAACATTACACAAATAAATTCTACTCCCACTAAAATTCCTAGCCAAAAATAAAAAGACATTGCCATCAAGTGGGAATCAACCATGGCTGACTCTTCATTTGGTTTCCAAGACTGTAATCACATGGGGGCAGCCTGCTCAAGGTGCCAGAGAGGTGTAGTCAGCACAACTCCCTACGTAGTAAGCACCAGAACCTCTTTAACAATCAGCTCACACCCCAAGGAAACAAAATTATTTCAGCAGAAACAGGACATTTTTAACCTATAATCAAATTATCATACTTCACAATTCCAACTTAAAATACCAATTTCTTTTGCCCAATAGTTTTATAGCTTTAGAAATATCAGGTTCATGGATGACTTCTTAGAAAACAATCAGCATGAACCCAATCCCCAAAACTTGGACACTGACCCAGTCTTCACTGTGACTTCTCATTTATTCATGGTAAACACTCACACGGCACTTTTTCTGACCCTAGTAACCTGGAGCTGGGGCAGATTTCAGACACAAAGTGTGGGAATCTGCATGACTTCCTTTAACCTCCTGGCTCCCATTTGCTGGGGAAGACTCCAGAATTCATCTTCAACATTTGCTGCAGCAGAATACAAATCAGGATCAAGCAATGTACAGATGAAAGCTAGGCAGGTCCCCAAGGTCTCAGAGTATCATCCTTCTGTCTACCAGAAGCTCTGAGTCATTCTGTTTAATAAACAAATTACAATTAGTATTAGTATTAGTGGCTAATAAGTTAGTATCTGCTATCAGTATAGACTCATCATCAAAATCCTGATCCTAGCTGCTATCAACCTTCTAGTGAAGCCTTGCCGTCTAATCAGCTCTGCTTGCCAAACAAATCCTCAGATGTGGCCTTGAAGCCCAGACCAAGAAACTCCAAATATTCCAAAGGTTCTAGCTCAGAATGCAATGACCAAAGGTAAATGAGAAAAGCTTAAACTCTTCACCACTGGTGAATTATAAATAAGTTACATGGTTAACAGTGTGCTAAAGTCTATTTTTGGTTTTGATATATGGGAAGCTGGGTGCAGGATAAACAGGAACTCTATTATTATTTTCTAGACTCAATACTTTTGAGTCTAAAATTAAACACTTTTAAAAAGTGATTACTATTTCTCAGATAAAGTAAATCTGTAAATTCATAACTAAATGGAGGAAGTATAACCAGGGTACTCCTTAGAGGCAAAGATGGTCAAACTTCATCTCACATATTTTGGGCATGTTGTCTGGAGGGAGCCACTCATTGAAAAAAGGACATCTTACGGAGAAAGGTAAAGAGTCAGAGAGAAACAGGAGATGGATTCGACACAGTGACAGTACCAATGAGCTTGAGCACAGTAAAGGTTATGAGGATGGTGCAGGATTGGGCAAGGTTCAAATCTGTTGTCCATAGGGTCACTATGAGTTGTAGTCAAATTTGACATATAACAACATACTATAAAGAAAGGTGATCAGGATCCAAGAGACAATGCAGACTATCAGGCTCATTTCTCTTATGTTCAACACCTTCTCAGTCGGGCATTTATTTTGCATCATAAGTGAATAAAATAATTTTATTAACTTTTCAGTTCTTTGCATTAAAAAATTATTAAACATTTTTTAAAAAGGAGTCATTGAAATTCACCAAATCCTAAATCTAAATTTTGAAACAGAATGTAATTTACACCGACCATGGTCACATTTACATTAACACTTTTCTTGAAAGGTAGACTGTGGGTTTTTAAAAAAAAAATTTTACATTGGTTTCCACGCAAAATTCGTATACATGTTTCACTAAGTACACTGGTTTTCAAACATTCTTTTTATTCACATTGTGTTTCATATGATCATTCTATACATTGTGTTTTAGAAATTAATCATCATTGGTCTACGTCCATTATCACTACATCTTTGCAGGTAAAATGTACAATTACATTTTAAATCTAAAAAGATACAACCATTTTGGTGACATTTCCAATATACTTCAGATTTATACTTCTTTACTAAACAGGTATTCACCTAAGTAGACAAATAGATTTAGCAAAATTTTCTTAAAAATCCTTGAGTCAGTTTAAATATTTACGGTGTTTAAAAGTTTGAAATCAAGTGTTCTTTTCCGATTCAGGCATTTGAACTAATTAACCCACTATGTTACCATTTTTAATAAGAACCCAAAATATAAAAGATTATTTTTTAAAAAAATATTATTTTTAAAAAGTAAAATAATGGTTTCAAAGTAAAGGTGACTATTACCTCCATTTCAAAAGGCAAAGGATTTTTCTAAAGCTTCATCTAGAAAGGTTAAATAGACAGGAGGAAAAAGAAAATAAAGCAAAACACCACACACTCTAACTATAGAAATCAAGCTTATTTATATACTGACCTAAGATGAATCCATGTCATTTTAACTATTCACATAAGAAGCATAGAAACAGAAGTAATTCAGCATGCCTCATTACTTAGTGATGGAAATGCCCTGACTGGTTTTATTTATTTCTTACCTCAATCAAAATGTATAGTATTTTCAGGATATATAATATAGAAAGTAAAAGAATCTTCATCAGTAACTTCTTTAATTTCCATGTAAAGAAAATCTTAACATTCATGTACCTTAGTTATTGAGTGCTATTGTAACAGAAATAATTCAAATGAACATCTTTAACAAACAAATATTTATTCTTTATGGTTTAGGAGGCTAGAAGTCTGCATTCGGGGAGCCAGTGCTTTCTGTCAGGCTAAGGGAAAAGTCCTTTTCTCTTTCAACATCTGTGGGTCCAGAATTCCTTGCAGATCTCCATATGTTTTGTTACCAATAATCCCGTAATTCTGGGAACTTCTCAGTGCACGGATTCTAATTCTAAAGGCTTCAGTCTGCTCTTGGCATTTTTCTTGGTGGTAGACAGGTCCTCCTTTAAAAGTGGAGTCAGTTATCAGTCCTATTAAGACTTGCCAGTCTTGAGAATAAATTTCTAAAATTCAACTTATAAATATGTTTCTCTATAACCATTCTTGGCAGCAAATGTCTGAGTCTGGGTTCTCTATAAAAGCAAAGCCAATGAAATATTTAGATAGGTAAGACATAAAGAGATATCTCAAGGAAGTGGTTGTGGAGGCTGGCAAATCCCAAATCTATGAGTCAGGGGGCTTTCTCCTGACCCACATGGTTGCTAGAGTTGATAAACTCTTTAAATGTTGCAGGTGATAAAAGCAACCGGCACATCAGATGATGAGTTGTTGGTTCACAGAGCTGCAGAAGCAGGTAAATTATAAAACTGGCAGATCAGGTTCAGAAAAATTGGTTTCAGAAGCTGGCAAATGACAAAACCAGAGGTTAGATGAAGAAGAGTCAATACAGGATCCAAAGCAAAGCCGAGAGCCTTGCCAGAGCATCCGTATACATATCCTGTATGCAGGTTAAATCCCCCAGGAAACTCTCTTTATATTTTAGTAAGGATTTACCCTGAATCACCCTCTCTTGTAAAACTGTGATACAAAATATACTCCACACAGCAATGGGCTCAAGCATGTCAGAGATGATGATGGCACAGGATCAACAGGGTTCACAGGTGGTTCACTGGGTCACTAGGAGTCGTACATGACTAGATGGCACACAGCCATCACAACAATGCCCCTAACTCATTAATATATAAAGGTTAGGATTTATAATGCCTAAAAACAGAGGGAAATTATATCACAAAATGAAAGACAAACCATAACACTTGAGAATCATGGGCTAGACATGACACATAATATTAATCATCAAGAATAACTTTCAGTTAAATTTTATACTTTATTAATAGTAATGTGTCATATCAATAAATACTAATTAACTGATTAAATATTAAAATCATTGTAGTCTTATCTTCAATATAAACTAGGTTAGAATGAAAGCATTTGATGAAAAACATTTACAATTTCAGAATCCTTATTCTAGGGAATTCTTAAATTTTACTTTTAATAGTTCCATGTTTTACTATGTAACATAAAACTTTCAGTTAAGTAACTAACAGTAACCTTTCACACAGGATTCACTTAAAAAAAGTAGTCATTTTGCTTTGCAGTAAAAATGGTTGAAAACTTGGATTTTTTTAAGAGACGTATATAAATATGCAAACACAAAGTAAACAAAACTCAAGTGTCTGGAAATAACTGGGGGCTTCTAGTCTTCAGCAAGATCACAAAGCACTCAAAAATTCTTTGACCTGAGGGGAAAAGAAAAAAAAAACCAACAACAAAACTTTAATTCAAGATACTTAATTGAATATTTAATCAATGCAAAATATATAATACTTAAATGTCTTTTAAAAAATGTATGTAAAATTAACTTCAAAAGTAATTTCATCACTGTCAAAGCATCTACTTTCCAAAGAAATAAGGCATGCCTTACCTTATCACAGATATTGTGTATTTTACAAATGAAAGCTTTGTAGCCACCCTGTGTTAAGAGGTTAGCATGATTCTCCCAATACACATACTCACTGTTTCTATGTCACGTACTGATAATTCTGACAAATTATTTCAAATATTTTCATAAGGCTAAATGCACACTTAACAGACTTTAATATGATGTAAACATCATTTTTATATGCACTGTTGTTGTTTGATTGGAACCCATAGCTGACCCTCTGGCGGATTTTGAGAGGCAGATAATCACATGGGAGGAGTCTACCCATTCTTCTTCCAGGGAGCAGCTCTGGAGGCCTTTAACTGCGTGCTTTAGGGATTGCAGCACAGCTTCTTGCCACTAGGCCACCAGAGCTCCCTAAGAAACAAACAAAAAAATTCCTAGGGCTATCTTTATTTAGCAATTCACTTTATTCTAGAGGTGTATGTGTTTTAGGTATGCCTGCACCTGTTAATCCTTCAGAATGAAAAATAAATTACTTAAAAGGTCATTATAGGAGCTACTGAGTTTATACCTAACATTGAAACATTTCTAAAAGGCCAGCAAGGCTAATTTTATAATTTAATGCTAATGACTACTTGTATTTGGAGCTTTAACACTAATATTAATTAACAGTAATGGTTTACGTTATTCTAAAGACGTAGATATTTAACAGAGTTGTAAATTTCGTGAAACAGAAATTTTAATTATGTCCTCTGCAAGGTTACTGTATGGGGAGAAAAATATATGGAGTGAAAAAACCAGGTCATCTGAATACTACAGTGCAGTAAGATTGTTCTCTTATTTTAAGATTTCATGTGTGAGAAGTAGAGACTTCATGCTTGGAAAAGCAGAAGGTCAGTGAAAAAGACAGCAATTCTCTCTAGAAATAAAATTACTGCAATAATGGACTAAGGACAACAGTGATAAGGATTATGGTACAGGACTGGACAGGGTTTCAGGGTTTTCTTCTGTTATACACTGGGTAACTATGAGTTGGAGTATACATGACAGCACCTAACAACCATCAATACTTGCGACTAGTCTGCTAATTAGTATGGGAATAGGGAAATACAATTCTCACTACTAATTTCTCTCAAATGTTGATCACTGGATTCTATTCCAGTCAATATGGGTACCACTCACTTACAGATCATCTGGGGGACAGATTACTGCTAAATAAAACAACAAAACTCGAAACTTAAAGTCTTTCAGACTTTAAGGTAAAAATGGATGAGATTTAGATCTTACAGCTTTTGTTACTATGTGCCATTAAGTTGATTCCAACTCATAGCGACTCTGTATACACAATAGAGTGCAACACTGCACCAACCTGCATCATCCTTGTAATCACTTCTACACAACCCTGGTGTTCTCCACACTGAATTTAGCTGAAAGAGAGACTTAACTGCACAAATAATTTATCATTAAAACATCTGACAACTGGTGGAGTAAGGAAAAGAATATGGGATAAAACTGAGGAAAAGAGGATGAAAAAGAATATTTGCTATGTGATTATCTCTATTTAACACAAGAACGAACTAAAATTAAGGATGAACTTAAATTAGCTTAGATCATGATGCTAAAATCTGAAGGTAAGAGCAGTGTAGATTTTAAAGACTAAAATTGGATTTGTAAATCAAAATTAATGCTAAAATTGAAGTCAAGAGTAGTGTACAAATGCACTCTTAATTGTCTTATATAAGCTTTTTGTTAAAAAATTGTTTTTAACATATTTTTCTAAGACAAGTAAAATTTACAATCTTTGCTTAGGTCTACCTTTTCGACCAGATTTTCATGTTTAGCTTTAAAGTCTTCATTAACATCCAATGTTAATATAGGTATCTCTTGTAAATAATCAAAGTTGGTTCTGTTTAAAAAGAAAGGAATAAACATGATAATTAGAAAAGCAGTAAAGAAGAGACAATAAAATTTCATTTGTGTATTACTGGAAATGGAAATGCTGTCAATCATTTTATACTAGTTATCCTGCAAGAATTTTATCTAGTAGCCTCTTTTTTGTCATCTAGATTTACTTTGGGTAGCCAAAAAAAAAAAAAAAGACAATTCTTTTATGAGAAAGATAGGAAGCTAGAAATTGTTGTACATACATCTCAAAACATGCCATAAAGTAGGAGTATTTTACACCTTAAAGGTGAGAAAGTTAATGTTCATAGAGGTTAGAATAACCTTTACGGTTTTCTAAATTCATATACCAGAATAAATTAAATTTCATTTGTGCGAAGATCTGATTTATGATAAAGTATGAATTATCAGCTATGCTATACCGTCTCCCATATAATACTGTAAAAAATTCAAAATTTATTTTAAAAAATATATTTGAAAAATCTAAATAAAATACACAGTTATATTTTCCTGCTTTCTGCTGACAATATTATTGAGTGATACAATTTACAAAAATGTTGTTTTGAAACAGAATCTCAAACTCAAAAGCATCAAGCCTACATTGAGTTCTAGGAAATACTAATAGATAAAATAGATGAAAACAAAAATTTTATACACTGCTAGTTACAGCTTTCAAATTTGAGATTAAAACTCATCGAAAAATGAATTATAAGTAAAAACAAGTCTTACTTCAGTGTTCTATGCAGTAGCCAGCTTTCATGTTTATAGTGAAGTTTCTCTAAATATTCAAGAGGAATGCCTTGTTCTTCATTTCTTCCTCGTAAATATATTCTATTTAAGCATGTCTAAAAGAAAGCAACAAGGTAATTTTTAAAAAGGGAAAACTATTATTTTCTGTTGCTGTTAAGATTTAAGGGTTTTTTTTTCCTTTAGTGGTTTGGTTTTTTTTTTTTTAAGGAAGGAGTAAGTACCAAAATGTTGGAGGATCAAATTTACACAGGAGTCTTGAAAAAAGGCCTGGAATCTGTCATTTGAAAACTCTACAGAGTATAGATCTAACTCTATCATGAGCTAGAATACACCAGACAGTAATTGGTTTTATGTCTCAACTCAGGTTAGCCAAAATCTTTATTTAAATCTCTAGAGTTATTTTCTTTTCCCATTGATGCTTTGCCTCACACGCTTTGGGCATGTTGCTAGGAGGGCTATACCTTAAAAAGGGACATGATGCTGGGAAGGGTAGATGGTTGGCAAAGAAGAGAACCTTCGATCAGGTGGGTTGACATAGCGACTGGTACAATGGCTCTTGTGTGTCAGGTAGTGTGAGGATGGCACAGGACAGAACAGGGTTCAGATCTTTTGGTCATTGGGTTGCTATGAGTCGTACTCGAATTGACAGTACCTGACAACAACATACTTTTCATAGACATGTGATTCTTCTTCTAAACAAAGTACTTTCAAATGGTGCAATCATTATGTAAGCAATTTAATGCTTCCTTAAAACATTACAAATTCAAATACCATTTGATCTACGAGGTACATAAACTCATTGCCATTGAGTTGGACCTCAATGCTCCTCCAAGGGTGACAAATTTCACAAAAGGAGACTGTCCATTCTTTTTCCAAGGAGCTACTAGTGGATTCAAACCACCTCTGGGCTAGCAATACAATTCCTTAAGGATTCTTCCACCTAAGCTCCCACTAGGTATATATCATATACTAAAGAAATAAGAGCTGTGACCTAAATAGGTATATACACATTCATGTTTACTGCAGCATTATTTATAATAGCAAAGATGTACAAACAATCCAAATGTCCTTCAACCGGGGAACGGTTAAAGAACACACTATGGAGTGCCAGGAAACACTAAAGAATACTAAAGAATTTGAGAAACACTGCATAACATGGATAGATTTTTAAAATATTACAGAGTGAACCAAATCAACTGAAAAAAGGACAAATATTGTGTAAAAACACTATCATTGCTGTTGTTACGTGCCTGCAACTCATAGCAACCCTATGTACAACAGCCCTAAACTCTGTCCTATCCTGTGCCAATCACATTATCTCCAACACACCTACCCCCATTACCCCAGTCACTGAATCAATTCATCTCATTGAGGGTCTTCCTCTCCTGCACTGTCCCTCCACCCTCCCAAGCATAACGTTCCTCTCCAAGGACTGGTCCCTCCTTGCAACATGTCCAAAGTATGCCAGACGAAGCTTCAGAATCCTTGCCTCCAAGAATAACCACTATAAGAAAAAGCAAAATAAAGGTTCTTAAAGATAGAATCACTCTTGGATGGTTAACACAGATGGGAGAGGGAAGTAAAAATAAATAAATATTGGTCAAATTAAGATGATTGAAGGTAAAGGCAACATATAATAAAGTACTATTAGACATTGTGAACAATTAATATTATAGAGCCAAATGCATATGGACAATTGAAGCAAAGACCTATATGACTTGTATACTTTCAATTAAATAGCAATTAAAAAAATAAGTTAAAAGCAAAGTCTATAAATTTTTGACATTTACAAATTAAATGTATTTCATAAAACAAGTTTGAAAAAATCTTAAAATTTATTTAAAACTTTATCAGTGGCTAAAAGATATGCCAATGAGATGGATTGATTCAGTGACTGGGGTAATTGGGATGGGAGTGTCAGAGACAGTGCAACTGGCACAGGACAGAGCAGAGTTTAGGGCTATTGTACATAGGGTAGCTATGATTCGCAAGCAACTTGACGGCACATAACAACAACAATAATCCTACTTTGTGGCTAATAAAACCTGATTATGAAATAGCTCTGGATGGATAATGTAAGCCACTAAAAGTAGTAGTTCTTAATGTGAAGGAAGTTCTGGACCAGCATAAACCAATACAACTTTCTGCAATGACAGAAATACCACATACATGCACTATCCAGTAAGATCTGGGTGTTTAAGGTTTATCTTTCAAAATTGTCTTTCCTAGCCAAAAGATTAACTGTTCATTTTATGCTGAAGTAATTACTTTATTAAGGAGAGAGGATTAGGATAAGGTACAAACCCCACCCTAATGTTGTTATTCTTATGTGCCCTTTGAGTAGAACCATTGCAAGCCTATGGTACAGCAGCTCTGAACCCTGCCCTGTCCTGAGCCAATCTCACTAATTCACCAAACCCTATTGCCAGTTACTCTATCAATCCATCTCATCCAGGGTCTTCCTCTCCTGTACTGTCTCTCCACCATTCCAAACATGATCCGTCTCCAAGACTGGTCTCTGCTGGCCATGTGCCCAAAGTATGTGAGACAGAGCTTCAAAATCCTAGCCTCCAAGAAGACTTGGTTTCACCCTCTCCAAGACAGTTCTATTTGTTTTCTTGGCAGTCCACAGTATGTTCAAGACTCTTCTCCAGCACCACAACTCGAAGGCATCAATTTTTCTTCTGTCACGCTTAGTCACTGTCCAGCTCTCTTATGCATAACAAGTAATTGTGAAGACCAAGGCCTGGATTAGGCACACCTTAGTCTCTAGACAGACATCATTGCTTTTCAGTACTCTGGAAAGGTCCCTGACAACAAATTTTCTGAATGCAATTCATCTTTTGATTTCTTGTGTGCTTGTGTCAAGAGTGTTGATTGTGGAGCCAAGCAAGCTGAACTGTTATCAACCTCAACCTTTTCTATATCTATCATGGTGCTGCCAACTGACCCAGTAATGAAAATCCGTTTTCTTGATGTTGAGCTTCAATCCATACTGCAGACTATAGTCCTTGACCTTTTGGAGCAAGCACTTCAGGTCCTCTTCAAACCAACCTATTAGAGGCTTACATAAACTCATAGGACCTCAGCACTAGCTGCTTCTCTCTTTTGGAAATGCTCACTCATCTGGAACATAACTTACAGCTACTTACCAGTCTCTGCACCACTGGTCTGCATCACCTACAGTCATCAACCAGCTGCACCACAACTGACAGTCTACACAGTCCCAGCCCATCGTTCAGCAGTTCTCCAAAACAAACCTGAACACATGGTCATGTAAGTCAATAACCTGATGGATCTGAGTCTCTAGGAGACCTTCTAGCAAATCACAGAACCCAAGGGACATAAAGGAGGAGCTAGACAACGACTAGGGATGACAGAAGAATTGATGCCTTTGAGCTGTGGTGCTGCAGAAGAGTACAGAATATACCATGGACTGATAAGAGAACAAACAGGTTCATCCTAGAAACCAAGCTGCTCCTTGGAGGCAAGGATTCTGAAGCTTCGTCTGACATACTCTGGACTTGCTGCAAAGAGGATCCAGTCCTTGGAGAGGGACGCCATGCTTGGGAGGGATCAGTGCAGGAGAGGAAGACCCTCGATGAGATGGACTGACTCAGTGACTGGGGTAATGGGGTACATGTGTCAGAGACAATGAGGTTGGCACAGGATAAAGCAGGGTTCAAGGCTGTTGTACATAAGGTTGCTAAGAGTTGCAAGTAACTCAACAGTACATAACAACAACTGATGTCAGAAGTCAAGAACTTATCGCCGTCTGCTTTCCCATGTGAGTTGCCGGACACGTCACCCAGTCTCGGACCCATTTCAGAGACTGCTGGCCTCAGGGTGTGGCTAAGGTGAAGGAGACGACTGCCCTGGAAGGGGCGGAGGCCACAGAGGGGGCGCAGATCGCATGGGTGGGATCGGGATTTGCTCCACAGGCCAAGGGGTGATGGGCCATGTGGGACAGAAAAGGGAGATGGAGGCCGCCCTCCAGGGGGCTCAGGGCCACGACAAGGCGGTGACTGAAGGCAGAGAGAAGAGAAGCCTCATCACGAATCCTGCCTGCAACCAGTCAGCCATCCCGAGTTAGAACCAGGATTCACTGAAAAAAAATCCTACAAATTCCAGTCGAAACGTAGGAATTCTGCTTCTGATTTCCCAGGCCACAGCTGTGGAGAATTTGGGTGAAGCAGAGAATTCTCTGTATTCAGCTGTCCAGTCAGAGGAGAATGGGATCTCCACAGCCTGAAGAATGAAGACGCAAATGAAAAAGATTCAATGTCAATGAGGAGTGGACGGAAGAAACAGGCCCCTGGATCTGGGGATGAACTGAGATCAAGGGGTCGGGCCTCCCCTGGACGAGTCAGCACATCCAGCAGTGATGGCAAAGCGGAGAAGTCTAGGCAGACAGCCAAGAAAGCCCAAGTAGAGGAAACCTCTACCTCAAAAGTCAGCAAGCAGGGCCAAGTGAGGAGATCTCAGAGAGTCAAAGTGAGGAGAACAGTGCACCAAAAAAGACTAAAACAGAGCAGGATCTCCCTCAGACCTGGACAGCTTAGATAATGATGGTAGCAGTGATCCGAGGGAAACTGACCAGGATAACAGTAGCGCACCCCCTCCTCCCCAGCATCTATAGCCCTGGAAGCGTGGAGAATGACTCAGATTCATCTCCGGGACTGTCCGACGGCCCAGCTTATCCCTACCACCCACTTCCTCTTTTTCCTTCCTCTCCTCCTCCAGTAGATAGTTGTTCCCCCCAACAGCCAGAGCCTAGCTTTGAGCCCCATCCTTCTATAACCTCCACTGGATATACTCCCATGGAGACCCCCACATCTCGAATGCTCCAGGCCCCTCCTGCGACTCCTCCTCGTGACCCACAGTTCTACCCTGAAGGGGCTGGTGAAGGAATTTTGTCTGGACCACGAATTGGTCCCAAGGGAGGTGGGGCTACTTCTTCAGTAGGGACCCCTAGTGGAGATAAGCAGCACCCACCACCTATCACCCCTATTTGAATATCAAGCTCTGGGGCTGGTGGTGCTTCCCCAACAAAACCATCTACCACTCCAGTGGGTGGTGGGGACTTACCCTCTGCTTCACCACCAGCCACTTTCCCCCACATGACACCAAACGTGCCTCCCCCACCTGCCCTGAGACCCCCTCAACAATGCATCAGCCTTTCTTCCTGGGCTAGGTGCTCAGCCACTACCTGGGCATCGGTCTTCTCCCCATACTATGAGGCAGGGTATGGGGGGATGCCCCCTAGCCGAGAGAAAGGCCCAACTCTGGCCCTTCACCCCACCCTCTGCCACCTGTTTCTTCCTCCACCCCAGCCCCCCCAATGCAGTATTCTTATTCATCCTCAGCAGGCATCTCCTCTTTTTTTTTTTTTTTCACCTCTTCTTCTTAAACTAACCAACCAAAAAAACGAAATCATGAACTTATATGGCAAGTCAAGTATTTGGGACAATTTTGACCTGACACTTATAACAAGTCTGCTATCAATGTTAGAAAGAATTATAAGAAAAGACAGTCACCAACTTCTGAGGACATAAAATTTTGCTAACTATGGCAACTAAGGAACAAAATTTTAAATTTTTATTGATTGAAATTTAATTAGTCACAATGAACAGTGGGACACAAGATCTTTTTTTACTCCCTGAAAATATACAGAATTTTACATAACTTGAAGGGATTCAGTTTCTCAGAGAAGCTTATCTATGTATCCCAAGAAATAAGAATTTAAAATCTAAAAGATATACATAATAAATAAGAACATGGAAACAGCCCAGATATACAACCACAATCTAATGGACTGAGAAATCATGGTACATTCACAAAGGGAATAGTATGCAACACTCAGGAGCAACGATTTTGCAAATTACTACCTAATTTGGGAGGGACTGGAGAGTATTATGCTGAGTGAACTAACTCAGTCCTATAAGGACAAATAGTGTATAAAGTCATTATTGTAGAATGAGTGTGAGGATCCAAAGGGGGAGAGAGAAAGTAGAGGGGAGAGGATGGGGGGAGAGAGGTATTAATCATAGGGTTATACAATTTGATGGGGGAGTGTGAAGGAAATGGGAAAGATCCAGTATGAAAAACAATATATTCAAACTCTGTAAATAAACCAGTATAAAAGAAAAAAAGATAAGCATAATAAATAAAAAAATCATAGCATACAAACTATGTTTCAAAGTCAATTTAAAAATCCTCTTTTTAAAAAGTCAAAAGTCTTCTAATTAATAGATATGATTATCAATTAAATGGTTTTGTGTTAGTTAATTTTTACCATATTGACTATAAGAGTTTGTTATAGAATGGGATTATTTTGTTTGCTTTGTAGTTTTTTTTAAAAATACATGCTCTATTTTTGTAATTTTTTAAAAAATCCTCTTAAAAATAATGACTTTTATAAAAATTACTATTGTTGATTCTGGCCCAAATGATTTAAGAGAAAGAACAAACCACTCACAGGAATTAGAGCTAGTTTCTTTTAAAATTTAGCTTCTATAACTACACAGTATTGTAGCTATCAATATATTCAGGCTAGAAATCATGATTTTTTTTTTATAGTACCCAGAGCCCACATTGTGACTTAGGGAATAAAAGCTAGAAAAATAGTAGGAATGAAGGGAATAAAACCAGAAAATTTTATTAAATGTAAATTCTTATTATTTATATTTAAGGAAGGGATTCACTTAATCATCCTGCATATATTACATAATTTTATATGTAAACAAAGACCTATCATGAAAGTCACATTTTCAAGTGAGCTATATACCATGGGAAAAGACTAAGGTTTTCTAAGTCTCTTCTTAGCCACAGCTGCCACTTACCCACACAATCCAAGCCACAAACTACCATAAAAGATTTTTCTTGAAATAAATTTTTATCAGTTTTACTGCACTCTTAATATATGCCTCTACCCTAGTTTAAGAACTAAATTTCAGCAATAATTAAACCAAAGGCCCACTTTATGTAGCCTATATTAGGATATGCTCAACCAAATTCCTTATTCGAGCTATGACGCATGAGAAGACCAGCAAAAATTAGTAATAATGAAGAAAACTGAAGTGAGAAATGAGAAGGCCTCAAAGAATCTTGTCAAATGTGGACTTCTAATTTCTTAGAAAAAAGAATACTATTACCTATATAGTTGGGAGTTTATAATTTGGAGGTAGGGAAGAGTGTTACATTTCCTTTACTGCACAACACTGAAAAAAGTCTGAAAATTATTTTAAAGTTGAAATATAATGAACAAATCTTTATTGGATCTCACCTCTGGAGTAGCTTGAAGATAAATTATTCCATCCAGTTCAAGGCTTTGGCCAAACTGGTTATTCATCCAGTCATGCCAGTCTTGGTAAATTGTCCATTCCGTTTCATTCATGCAGTCAGATTCATATAAATTTGATGCAAAAATATACCTGAAGGAAAGACCACACCACCATGTAAATTCTTTTCATGGAAATATGAAGACAATAAAGAGAATATGTTGTATATATGTCCTATTCCTCAAGACTGTACCAAGAACAATCCCATACAACTCTCCCTTTGCAAATTAACAACACTTCTAATTAAATGTAAAATAAAAATTGATGTCCCACCAATTCCTATGATGTCATCAACAGCCCATCAGTGTCTGCTCAAGCAACAAAGAGAGTGACCACAATGAGGTGATGAAAGTTTCAGCAAGCAAAGATAATGGATGTTTGTTTAAAAATAAATAAATAAATTCCTCCATCTTAATTTCTAATCTAAAAATGTCAATTTTATTATTATATATGACATTTAATATATATTATGTTGTTTTACATGGGATGGGAAATCTCCTCCTGTGTTATTAAATGCCTCTGAAAACCTTCTGTAGGGTCAGCTATGGGTTGATTCCGACTTGATGACACATAACAAACAACAATTTACCTAGTATTCTCCCTCTCCCATGCAGCAGCTCCTGGTCTGAACCACCATTTTCTTTTTTGGTTAGCAGCCCGATGACTGTACCATCAGGGCTCCTATATACCCTGTTGAAAAATCAAATCCATAGCAGACAGCACTGCCATCTTTCTCCACTAGAGCAGATGTGAGATTCAAATACATTACACACTACACCACAATATATAAACCCACATAAAGGGAGCTCTGGTGATCGAGTGATAAGAAGCTGTGCTTCAATCCAAAATGCATGCAATTCAAATCCATCAGCTGCTCCATGGGAGAAGGACGGGCAATCTCCTCTCCTGTGATTTACAGTTCTCTAAAAACGTGATTAGAGGGTCAGCTATTAGTTGGTTTTGACCCAACTGCACACAACAATTGAAGGGACAGCAAAACCCCCATTTTTTTATAAACCCCCATTAATGCCAAAAGCAGAAGCGGGCCATAAAAATTCTTAGCTTAATGCAAACACAAAGCCCCGGGTAAAGTCTTGTCTGTCCTTGCAAAGAAAAGAATTAACTAGTGTCTACGTGACACAGGAGTAAAGGTGGGCAAAGTAGATAGCCCGTCAAAAGCGGACCCACATGACTGATCCCCCCAACCCACCAACCATGATCTCAATCTCCCTGCCCCGACAGGGGTACCCAGGAGAGTTATAAAAGCAATTGGGAGGGGGGACTTAGGGCTTTTTCCCTTGCCACCATCTTATGGAGGGAGAAAGTCTCCACATGTGGAATTAATAAACGCTCTTGAAATTTTCAGACATGTGACTGAATTTCCTTTGAGGGGCATTTCGTGGGCAGAACACAAGATATTAAAAGGCTAAAACTTTCAATGTTGTTATTTTCTATCTCAAATTTGCAACTCATACTTCCATATTAATTAGATTTCCAGGAAAAAAGGTGGGAGAAATGTCCAGTTCTTAATCAAAAGATTCCAAACAAATAAGACATTGACAAATAAATACCTGTCACTATACACAGATCGCTCAAAAAATAATACTGGTTTCTCAGCATCTTTGAGTCTGCCATTGAGAGAGGCAAGTTGAGCTCGTATTCTACTAAGGCACGCATAAGACTGGAAGGTGAAAGACCACCGCTCAGGTTTCTCATACATCATCTGAAGGACATTGCCACCACTTTTCTGAGATGTCGTCAGTTCCTATTTTGAATTTGAAAACAAAACATAAAAGTTAATGATCAAAAGTAACGCTCAAAAAGAGTATTGTCACGCGTTTAACTACAACTAATGGCAACCCCACAAACACATCTGAAAGTTGCTGTCTCTACTGTGCTATGCTCATGATCTCTAATAAACTCTAGCACAGTGTTGTAGTCACTGTGTCAATCTTGTTGATTACGTTCTTCTCCTTCATTGATCCTCCAACTTTCCCAACAAGATGACACTTTACAAAGACTTGCTCTTCCTGATAACACACCCAAATTATATGAGACAAAGTCTCACTATCCTTATCTTTAAGAAGGACCCTGACTAAACTTCCTCCAAGACACACTTGTTTCTTCTTTTGGCAGTCTATGATGTATTTAATACACTTCATCAACACCACAATTCAAAAGCATGGATTCTTTTTTTTTTTTTGGTCATGCATCACAATTCAAAGATATAAATTCTTCTCCAACATGCTCGAGTCACTGTGCTAATCTATCTTTTCTTTACAAAGGTCTTTTGTATCTCTAAGTATCTTACTTTGTGGTTGGCTACTATAAATGGTATAGCTTTCTTGGTTTCCTTGTCTGAGTTTTCTTTGTTACTGTAGGGGAATCCTGTTTATTCTTTTATACTGCTATTGTACTGAATTGGTCTACTAGATTTTTTGTTGAGTCATTTGGATTTTCTGTGTACTTTATCATATCATCTGTGATGCCTTTTATTTCCTTCTCTTATACTTTTTTTAAAATTTAAATTTATTATTAATTTCAGTAAAAATTTACAGAGACTTTGGATTTCCATTCATTCATTGTTGTACTTTTTCCCCCTCCCCACCAGTACATTACCCTCTTGAGAAAGTAAAAGAGAAATTCTTTCATTGTTTTACAAATCCTCCCCCAGGTCCACTCCAACATGTAGCCTTTGCTCTAGACACCTGTCATGACAAAAATACCCAATCACATATCCCCCCCCCTTTTTTTAGCAGGCAATCCTCACCTTTATTTACGTACAAAGCACAGATACACATTCTACACAGAAATAAATATGTAGCGTCTCTCTGTTAACAACACTTCTGGTGGTGCTGTGTGCTACTGAGTCAAAACTGCAGGTTTTCAGAGGCAGTTAATGACACAAGATGAGATTGCTCATTCTTTTTTTTTTTAAACAGTTTTCTCCATCTGCTTCAATGCAGTATACCAACCCCAAGGTCAGTCCTGTCTTACAACAGTGGCACCGTGCAGCATTTGTCCTTTTGTGACTGAGATACTTCTCTAGCAAGTACTTTCAATACAATACTGAATAGAAGCGGTAAAAAGTGGGCATCCTTGTCTGGGCCCTGCTCTCAGGGGGAATGTCTTTAGTTTTTCTCCAGTTAATCTATTTTTTTTTTTGAGGGTCTATGTCTCCTTTGTTAACCTTCTACATTTCCAAAGCAAGGAGAATAATAATAATAAACACATCATGATTAGTAAAATGAAGATTATTAAGTCTGATTTCACTGTAATCTTCTCAATTTTATTTTTCATGTTATCTGAGGTTTGGAATATGCTAAAAAGCTAGCACAAACTACCATGACTTCAGATTTGTCTCAGAGGATGTCATAAACGGATAATCTATGGAAGAAATTATGTTTGGCCCAAAGACTTTTAAAAGTGTTAATTAGTTAATTTTTTTTCTGTTCCACTCTCACTTGGTTTTCACTTAACACTCAAAAATTGATTCTGTGTACAAACTATTCCTTAAATATTGTCTATTGTTGTTCTTAGGTGCCTTCGAGTTGAGTATGAGTTATAGCAACCCTACGAACAAAAGATCTGAACCCTGATCTATCCTGTGCCATCCTCATACACAAGAGCCCGTTGAAGCAGTCACCGTGTCAATCCACCTACTTGAGGGTTTTCCTCTTTCACCAGACCTCTACCCTTCCCAGCATCATGTCCCTCTCCAAGAAATAGCCCCTCCTACAAAACACACCCCAAGTATGTGAGATGAAGCCTCATCATTCTTGCCTCCAAAGAGCACTCCAGTTGTGCCCTCTCTAAGTTCTATCTGATTGTTCTCTTCGCAGTTAATGGGATGTTACTACTCTTCTCCAACTACGGCTCAGAGGTGTTAATTCTTTTTCTGTCATCCTTATTCACTGTCCAGCTCTCAGATGCAAAGCAAGCAACTAGAAAAACTATGGCCCAACTCAGACGCATCTTCATCCTCAAACTGACTTAATTACTCTTCAATAACCTGTGTTACACAAATTACACAATCTTACTTGCTGAAAATGAGGAGGACTTGAAGCACTTCTTGCAGATCAAGGAATGCAGCCTTCAGTATGGACTGAATCTCAGCATCAAGAAAATAAAGATTCTTACCACTGGACCAACATGCAGCATCATGATGAATGGAGAGGAGACTGAAACTGTTAACGCTTCACTTTGATTGATCTGCTATTAAGATCCTTGGTACAAGCAGTCAGAAAATAAGGAGACTTATTTGTTTGGACCAAACAAGACTGCCTTTATGGACCTCTCAAAACTACCGAGGAGTGATGATGTCTTATGTATTGTTCTTGTTGTTAATGTGCCATCGAGTCATTTGCGACTCTTAGCGACCCTATGTACAAGAGCCCTAAACGCCGTTCTATCCTGTGCCAACCTAGCCATCTCAAACACATTCATTCGCACCACTCCACTCACAGAATCGATCCATCTCATCAAGTGTCTTCCTCTCCTGCGCCGTCCCTCCACGCTCCCAAACATGATGTCCCTCTCCAAGGATGAGTTCTTCCTTGCAACATGCCCACAGTATGTCAGATGAAGCTTGAGAATCCTTGACTCCAGGAAATATTCTGGCTTCACCTTCTCCAGGACAAACCTGTTTGTTCTCCTAGCAGTCCATGGTATATTCAACACTCTTCTCCAGCACCACAGCTCAAAGGCATCAATTCTCTTTCTATCAACCCTCTTCATTTTCCAACTCTTTGATGCATAGCACGTATTTGCAAAGACTATATCCTGGATCAGGCACACCTTAGTCTCCAGCCTGACATCGTTGCACTTCAGTACTCTTGAGAGGTCTCTCACAGCCGACTTTCCCAATGTAATTTGTCTCCTGATTTCCTGGCTGCTGTTACCAAGAGTGTTGACTGTGGAGCCAAGCAGACTAAAACTGTTAACTATCTCAATCTCTTCACCATCCATACTGATGCTGCCAATTGCCCTAGTGATGAGAATCTTTGTTTTCTTGATATTCAGTTTCAATCCATATTGAAGACTGCAGTCCTTGACCTTCTGCAGCAAGCGCTTCAGGTCCTCCTCAGTTTCAGCAAGAAGGGTTGTATCATCTGCATAACGCAGATTGTTGACGATTCTTCTACCAATCCTGATGCCACATTCCTCTTCATACGGCCCAGTGTCTCAGATGATCTGTTCTGCATACAGATTGAAAAGGTATGGAGACAGAATACATCCCTGACGGACCCCTTTCTTGATTTTGAACCATCCAGTGTCTTCCTGCTCTGTTCTGATGACTGCCTCTTGGTCCAAGTATAGGTTTCGCATTAGCACAATCAAATGTTCTGGGATTCCCATTCTGCTCAGAGTCAGCCACAGCTTCTTGTGATCCACACAGTCAAAAGCCTTTGCATAGTCTTGTGTATTAGAGGTTCTATATTTGTCTTTTTGTGACTGTTTTACGTCACTCAGCAAAATCTGCTCTAGTTTCATCAATGTTGAGCAGTATTCCACATATCTGGGATATTTTAGTGTTGCAATAATACTTCATTGAGTAAATATACCGCAACTCCTTCAGTCACTCGTCTCCTGATGGACACCTGGGTCGTTTCCATCTCTTTACTATTACAGTGCTGCAATAAACATGGGTCTAAGTATGTCAGTTTGTCTTACAATTATTATTACTCTGGGATATACACCTACTAGTAAGATTGGTGGTTCAAATGCTATTTCCAACTTTCTAAGGAAGCACCAAATTACTTTCTATAATGGTAGCACCATTATAAACTCCCACAAGCAGTGTATGAAAACTGCAATCTCGTCAGCATGTGTTGTTTAATGTCTTATTGAACACTGCTATTTTTGCTGAGTGAAATAATAATGAGGTTTCTGTTGTTTTGACTTGCATCTAACAGCTAGTGGAAAGAATCTGTGTTGCAATACCAAAGGCATAGACTTTTAATTCACCAGGTGCTCTATGAAAAAAGGATGGGCAATCTCCTCTGGTGTGACTTAGTGCCTCTGAAAACCCACTGAAGGGTCAGCTATGGGTCAGTTCCAACTTGATGGCACACAACAACGATGGAGAAAAGTTTGAAGCTGTCAATAATCTTTGTCCTTTAATAGGGATTACATTTCGACATCAAGAAAACAAACGTTCTAACCATTGGGCAAACAGGCAACATCATCATGATAGACGGAGAAAGGACTGAAGTTATCAATTATTTCATTTTGTTTGGATCAAAAATCAATAACCTTGGCACCAGCAGTCAGGACACCAGAAGACATATTGCATTGGGCAAGTCTGCTGTCAAAACATTCAAGAACAACAATGTCAGTGTGAAGACAAAAGTGCTCCTGATTTAGGCTGTGGTCTTTTCAATAACATGCTACACACTTGATGAATAGAAATGATAGAAGAATAACTGCCTTTGAGTTGTGATGCTGGAGAAGCGTGCTGAATATTCCATGGACAACCAAAAGAACAAACAAGTATGTCTTGGAAAAGTGCAGCCAGAGTGCTCTTTGGAGGCAAGGATTGGGAAGCTTTGTATCTCATACTTTGGGCATGTTGCTAGGACATGCTATTCCTGGGAGGGGGAAAACATGTTTAGAAAGGTGAAGAAGGTCAAAGAAGGGAAGGACGACTCCCAACAAGATGGACGAACACAATGACAGCAGGAATGGGCTCAAGTGTGTCAGACGATGAGGACGGCACAGGATAAGACAGGAGTCAGGTCTGGTTTTCATACAGTGGCAGGCTAA